CGGTGCGTGCTGCTGTGCGGCACTGCCAGGCGGTGCCTACTGCTGTGCGTGCTGCTGCCTATGACTACGCCGTAGTGCACTTCCGGATGGTGTGACCATAACATTACACCCCTCCCGGACTACGAGCTTGTCCTCAAGCTCGTATTCCGGATACATGGCTTGGGACTCTACGAATGGATCAAATGGCTGCACACTATTTCTCAGTCCACCAACAGTAAGAACAACAGGGACTGCCCCGTATCTCAGTGCATAAAGCTGGATTATTTGATGCAGACCCCAGCCACCTTCTTTAGTTTCCAGCTCCCAGGCGTAACCATGGCTTACAGTGGCTACACGCTCTGCTGCACTCAGTCCAGCCGCAAGGACATTGAAGTGTTCCCCACCTCCTGGATCATATAGTTTGAAGTAGTTTTGTGGAAGATCCACATAACAAAAATCGCATACTGGACCACGGCCCCGATGTGCTTTGTTGTGGATCACAGGAACGCATCGGGTATACTTACAGAAGAGAACCTCAAGAGCAGCCTTACAGAAGCGAACCATGCGTTTTAAAATATCCCCTCGGCCTCCCCCATATGTATTTTCCTCAATATTGCGGAACATAGAGCTGTCTATGAACACAAAATCCATGCCATCAATATAAGCTTGAGAGGAAGTTACCTCTATATCCTGCCTCTCCACCTTACATCTCTTGCGCACTCCTTTTTCTTGGATTTCTGCATAGTTACCATACTGTGGTGCCGCAACCATAACTCTATGTCCACGCCGAGCCAAGGCCTTCAGTAAAGCCCCAGCAACATCGCCAAGCCCACCTGTCTTCTTCAAAGGAGCGCATTCTGCAGGTTCTACTATAATGTTCGTGACATTGTCCCCGGCCAAAGGAGGAGACTTTACAGTTTCATCCTCCATGCGCTGATCCTTGGAAATAACTGCGGCTGTAGGGGCAGCGATCTGTTGTTCGCTGGATGCCTCTGCCCAATCCGGACGGCGTCTGTTGGTGTTGGCGATTCCCTCAGAACTCATTTCTTTGTTGGGGAGGAATGCTTCCAGCAGGCGTCGCATCTCCCGGACGTCTTCCCTAACTTCACGAACCTCCATGCTGGTTTCTGCTAGCCTATGTTCCAGTTCGTTGACCTTGATTGATAGCTGCTCCATATCGCCCGTGACGTTTGGCTCTGATACCAAATTGTTATGGTCCCGCGCGTAGAATCCCGTCACGGGTCGGCCCACGGTGCGAAAGCCCTGCTTTTCCTTGCGCCTTCCCTTGCGTGCAAACCCTATTGCGGCAATCGCGTGGGTGATTTGTCCAAGAGATCACCCGAACTCTCCTAATGGGTGATTTGTCCAAGAGATCACCTGAACTCTCCTT